AATTACAATGAGAGAAAGAGAGAGAGATGCACTTATCATTAAAATATTTTTACCATTCCATTGTATTAACTGTTAAACTATGGCGTATAAAAATGTATGATATTCACTGTCTTTAACTGTACTAAATAAATGATATGTATCAGGAAAAAACATGCGATTTTCAGAGCAGACATTATACACGCGCGAAGTAACACCCCCCCCCCCCCCCCCCCCCCCCCCCCCATTCTTAAACATAACTTTTACTATTGAAAATTCTCAATGTTTTTTGACTTGTCCACTTTCTTCAGGTAACTTGAGTTATTTTTTTTCTCCGGCCGAACCCCCCCCCCCTTCCCCCAGTTTCAACGTCTACGTCACTGTATTGAGTCGTCGTGGATTGTACTTCAAGAATTTACTTTTAAAAAGATATGTGGTAGAAACCCTTGTGCCTATTAAATTGAGAGATAAAGGGTAATTTTACATTATGAGAAATTAGCACACCCCACTACGAAAGCCGGATACGAGTTAATTTTTTTTATCTTCTCAGAAATGAGCCTATCCGGCTTTCGTACCCCACCCCTAAAGATAAGTAAATAAATAATGTAATATTTTCTATAACGCGCTGTAAAAGACCTGTGTACTCGAAGACATCAGTTATTTTTTTTTTCATTACCCATTTTGAAATAGATTGTCCTACATATGAAATGAATCTTTTTGAATGCCATATTGTCCACGAGTAAGATAATAATATCTCATTTTTTTCCACCCCCTTTTCTCTCTCTCTCTCTCTCTCTTTAGTTCATACCATAAAATAGATGGCATTTTATTTTACTCTATTACCCTACTTCTTATCTTTTAAAAACAATTTAATTAGTTCATGTACCATTTATTATTCACCGCTTAAATCAGAGACATAAATAATACGCGCATGTATTTTTATTGTACTGAATTCAACAGTTTATAGAAAGAAGAACCTTGAACAGAGAGTTCCGAGGGGTAGCTTCCGAAAGATCATCATCATAAAGAAGAAAGCACCGCATATAATACTGTGTCTACATCATAACGAAATGCAAAATCTACCGCACGGAGTGTTAACTGGACCGGACATAATATTTAATGATCAGCATTATCATAATAACAGATATACTACATATAATGATGAATGTACTGTATATAATGTGAGAAGTACATAATATATTGTTGTGTTTACTCCATATAATGTTAGAACTACCGCATATAATGTTGGAACTACCCCATATAATGTTAAAAGCACATCATATAATGATAGATGTACATAATATAATGACATATCTACATCATAAAATGAAAGAAGTACTACATGTAATAGAGGTTGTACACTATATAATGTAAAAACTACTTCATATAATAAAAGTAGTACCGCATATAATAAAGGAAGCACTGCATATAATATTTAATCTTCATATAAGACAGTCCCGGCGTTCCATAGAAAGGGATGTAAATGCTTTAGTGCCGTACATAGGGTAGATCCGCTTGTAAGCCCTACAGTGTACAAGTCTAAGAATCATGTAAATAGTATTGGTCGTACGTAAATGTTGTAGTCATAAGGAGAAATTATAGTATAAAAATTTCTTTAAATATAAAAAGAAAAAAAAAGTGAAACACAATTTTACATGGTCTAAAATAAAATCAGATTTTTTTGTACGTTCATAACATTGACAAAATAAATTTGGTTTCATGGGTCCGTCATTTCATTCAAAGTTGTTTAAACAAAACTAGATATCATATTAAAGATGACGAAATATTTATACAAAGTGCACTCAAAGTAACTCTTCAATCGTCAAAATTAATCACATTGGTGAAATTTTCCGTTTAAATGAAACGTTTAGGTCTTCTCGTCAAATGTCAATCAATACATAATGACACGACCATCTTATTTTAGATAACATAAAACAATATTCGTCGCGATGTATTTAATTTACGGACATCCAGTGCTCTGAAACTGAAGAGTTATGCTAAGATTAGATATTATGCACTTCAAAGAGAGAGAGTTTATTTCAAAATTCACGTATTGCATCAATTTTCTACATGTAAACATGCTTTCATGTCTGTTTAAGTTATTAGAACATATGCTTCAATTGAACACATGCTACTTAGGATGATGTACATTGTTTCTTTGATTAGCCATTGTATCTATGGAATACCTGTTCCACTTGTATTGAAATAAAGCAAGTGAAAATTCCTGACAATAGAGGTAATCTATACATGCGGACTTTCACACCCATCCGTCCTTACAACAAGCCACTTTCTCTTTTTTGGTAGAAATGGGTGAGTCATTACGCAGCACTGTTAAGGCTTACTACGAGAAATCAACGGAAAACAGAAGTGCAAAAAGGGGCATTGTTTTTAAAACTGAATTTATTTTTATTCAGCTGTTTTATTATCACTGAACTTAAATACTTATGGAAATAGCATAGTACAACCTACTCTGTATTGTATGGAGTTTAGTCCCATCGATGGACAGTCACGTGGTGAATGCATAGTAGGTACACGGAATGTAGGTCAGAAACAAATATCAATATCGCAAGGGCATACCCTAGTTGAAATTAAAAATTCAAGCTATTAATTGTTTCTGCATATTTTGTACTTTCTGGAAAGTGCTGCTGCTTTGAATAGAATCAGCCTTTTAATAGTTAAAATTTCAAGTAAATAAGCCAATGTCGAAATATGTTTGACTTTTACCAAATGGTTTGTGTACTTATAAAGTCATGCTCTCGATTTAAAGAAAGCAGCAGCACTTTTCAAGTTAAGGAACATATCCTCTATTTATATTCAAAAAATGGTCAAGATTTATTTAGTGTATGCCCTTGCGAAAGAGCGATTTAAGGTAGGACCAAATAGATAGGTCAAATTTTTCCTCAAATTCAATTTTTCTGAAATTTTGATATTTTGTTCTTGGATACAAAATCTCTCTTTTTATATAATATGAAAGAAATTCAAACACACATTTTTTGCCCAATAGTCTGAAATATTGCTTATCAGACCCCTGTAAGAAGATTGTGAAGTGGGACATTCGACTTGAGAATGAGCCTTATTTTAGAATTTTCTATTGATCTATTGCAAATTTGTGTAATATTTTTAATTCAGATAACCTTTCTGTTACTTTAAATTAGTGAGTCACATTGATACTGGAAAATTTGGGTAAAATATTAAGTAAAATAGAACATACATTGTGTCAGAAACTGAAAATTCACATGTAAATATCCGACAGTTTAAATTTTCTTAACAGAAAATGTATAATTCAATTTTTACAAAAAATCAACAGAATAATTCAAATGGGTTTTAGAATAAAATGTGTAAAAATAAAGAAAATTGAACCGGTGGATTCAGATATTTTGGCGATTAAAAAAAAATTCAATGGAAAAAACTAAAAGATTCAGTAGATAACATCACAATATTTGACCTTTGACCTCTTGATATGACCTTGACCTTTGTAGTACATAAAGAACAGTGACTCCTTATATATGTGTCCAAATATCACCCCTCTATTATTTATGGAACAAAAGTTGCACTGCATTTTATAACAGACTGTTACATGCTTGTTTATTGCACTTAAATAGCGTAAACTCATTCCAAAATGTAAGCTCCCAAGTGACCAATATATAGGATTCTCTGATTTTTTCACAAAATATAATACAAATATGCCAAAACTTACTATTTTTCTTTCAAGGATCTTTCATTGTTGTTAATATAGTAATATCATTCTTTTTTCCTCCAGTACTATTTAAGAAATGTGTTAAAATAGAATCCACGGGTGTTTTGTCCTACCTTTATGAGGCACCTCGATGTAAAATATACCTAACCTGAACATAAAAACACGACAGAATTATCTAAATACATTCTCTCGATAGTAAATGAATAATCGCACTAAACAAATGATATACATTGGTATTATTAGCCTATTAAAAACCTGTAAATAATATTCTGTTTTATAATAAAACGCATTTTTCATTGTTAAAAAATTCCCAAATCTGCCTCTCACAGCACATGAAATACGTCATTTTTACCAAAATGACGTCATGATTGACAAGTTCATTCAGATCAGTGATTTGTTTAAAACCAGCTGTATGGGATTTAACTAGCGACTTTTGTTAATGCATTGATCAGTTTTATTGTTGTTTATTATGCTAATACAGTTTAAAGTTGCAAATTTTTTCATTTTCGGGTAATATGAGGAATGCATAAAAGTCATATTTTTGGTGTGACGTCACAGTTAACTTTTCCCGTATAAATTAGGCCCCGCCCCCTTTTCTTGCCTTAACAGTGCTGCGTATGTAGCAACATATTGTTTAGAAGAAAACAGAACATGTCGATCAAACAAAAAAAATATCACATGAAGGCGCTTCTTTGACATGCTTAAAAGACTTTTTCCTTAACATTTATATACAGTAAAATACATACTAATGAAGATGATTTTTAAAAAAATACATATATATGATGCAAATACTATTTTATATTAATCAATCTAAACAATTCAATACGATCACATAATAGCGAGCGCAGCGAGGCGGCGAGAAGCGCCGCTCGCGTAGCGAGCTCAAAAGACTAACGTGTACGAACAGAGGAAATTCAGGTTGAAATCTGCACATTGTTCCAAGAAATTTTTATGAGTCCACGTGAAAAAATTCCAAACTCCCAATAATCCTTTGCGGTACATAGCAACATGGTGGCTATAAGATAGCAAGAACTTACTTGAAAAAAATTACAAACAACGATTTAATGCAATCTCAATGCCACAAAACTATCGATCGTTTGTGTTCTAAGTCAACTGGACTTTTTATCTGACGTCATACTTTCGTCACTTAAACGGCTCGGGTATTTCCGAATTTGTCGGAAACTTCCGAAAAGTTTGAAATCTCGATCCCGATGCCTGGGAAATGAGTTAAAGCTGTTTAAAGGTTTTTGTTATAGTAAATAACTGCGCTCGCCCCAACGGTCGCACCGTAGAACATATTATGAAAAAAATGTTAAAAAGAAGTGTTCGATGGATAAAATACTTTAAAGTCATTGAAGTGAGAGGACTTTGATTTCCTCAAACAACCATTCCCCAACATACAGATTGTCATCCTCGTCTATACAGAGAGCACGTGGCTTGTTCATGTCACTGTAATGAATATAGTAAAGCAGCTCACCATTTTGATCAATCATGTAAATTCTATTTTTTACCATGTCCGCTACAATGATGTTATTCTTGGAATCACAACAGATGCCGTATGGATCAAACTGAGTGTCACCTTGTGCTCCTGTGTACCGGAATCTCAGGAAGCCACCGGCGTCTGTAACTACCACAGCATTCACATCAGAAACACAGATGTCACCATTTCCATTTTCTGTTATGTAGGTCGGACAAATAAAAAGAGGTCGATTTTTTTCTGACTCAATTTCGAATTGTGCAGTTCCGTTGAAAGAAAGCTTGACTACTTTACCTAAAGAACGTTCATGTACTTGATGGTTCCAGAGACAAACCAAAATGGCTCCCGATTTGCACATTGCTATTCCGTTTGGTGTGTATCCGCTAGATGGTTCATAAGGCAAAGTCCAAGAAGATAAAGTTCTCAGTGATCTGCTACTTGTATCCCAGAAAATGACATCCTCATAATCAAAATTTCCCATAAAACACAAACAGGATCCAAAAGTAGAGAAAAATCCAATAGGACTATATCCTTGCCTACAAGAAGAATCATTGCCCTCTATGTTTACAACGGAAACACACACGTTTCCTTCATTAATGTATTTCAGATCAGTAATATACTTCTGCCCGTAATTTATTGTTTTCACTATTTTCATTCGATTCACAACAGCAGACAAAACCTGGGCTTGCATCATCCTTTTTGAGAGCGTGATAGCAACCTTCAAAGTAAGAAAAGAAAACATATACATCAGGTGTTAATCTGCATAAACATATTTTTAAGGCCAAAAACTGTGGTTCACGTAGCGTATTCATGACACCTTATGTTCTCAAAGCTTGCCATTTGCATGTACATTTGTAATCAACTTCATCATACAATTTTTTGCAGTATTGAATATTGGACAGTTCAGTTATTGACTGACATTATTCTTTAATGCAAGTACACGACATATACATAATTTGTTTATGTTAGTGATAGAATTTGAAGCTAACGCAAGAAAAGTGTACTTGTAAAACAAAGTCTCTAGTGTTAGATTATTAGATATGACAAGAGAATGCTTGGTTGATTGTATCTTGTTAAACGTCTCTATATTTAAAAAGAAAGTTTAAATGATTACAAAATAGTCACTAATAGTGCTCATTTATCTCCCTTTATTCTTTATATTTTTACAACGTAATAGGGTTAAACAGGTACAGAAGACATTTCATTCAAAATTATGATCAGTATTATTATTTTTCTCTATTGTTCCAATTATCTGATTGGCTGAAACTGGATCACATGATCAATTATAAAAAATGTTACGGACTGGATGTTTCTATTTTAAAAATTTATAAACCTGCTGTTTCTAAAATTGGAAACGTTCTTCTGTGAAGCAAAAAAAGTTTTGACGTCACAAGGGTCTTTATAGACTGGATGTTTCTAAAAACAGACACTGCAGCTGGTTTTCATTACTGTGACGTCATAATGCAATGACATGACAATGCCTTGTATGAGAAGGTACTGAGTATTATAAAGAAGGATTTTAAGACATTTCTTATTAACTAATAAAAAATAATAAAACAATTGTAGCCTTTTGATTCGGTACAATCCCTCGATATATAGACCTTAGAGAAGCATATCGTGCTCGGTCGATATGCTTTCTCTAAGGTCTATATATCGAGGGATTGACATCATCCTCATAATTGTATAAAATGCATTCATTTGAATGATAAAATCTGTTGTACTTATTCAAAAACAATTTTTAAAAACTTAGACGATAAATTTGTTAAAGACGTGTAAAATGTTTTATCAGACAAAGTTAACAGCAGCTTTACCTGATTTGTTATAATGTACGACATCAATGGAAAATCTTCTATTCACTTTCGTTTTCAATGTAGGATTCATATCATGTATTGCCTCAGTTATGGCAGTCAAAATGCGTCATATCTGGAGAGATTTTTATAAAAGTATATACATGGCTTCTTCGTTAATAAAACCCATGAATGATTTATAAAGTAGGTAAAATAGTTATCCATCCTGCTATAGATACACATGTACGAGCAAAAAATTTGATTTCATATATCACCAAATCAAATTGAACTTGTGACATTAAGATACGTCATGGAAGGCAATTAGAAAAATAATATGGATATAACAAACATTATTAAAGATCAAAGTCAATTTTAACAGCAAAAAAAAAATGGGGGGAAATCAAACGCAAGCCTCCAAAAAACATCAGAGGAGTGAACAGGAACCATAGAGGAGTAAACATGTCCTGTCGAACGACCACCTACGCCTCATGCTTCTTTTCATTATGTGGTAATCAAAAAAATCTCTGTTTGTAAATAACGGCTTAACAATGAGTATGAAAACGTCAGTTAGTTGTTGACTTCATTATAGATTGTAATTACTGAGAAGCTCATTGAATCGATCAAAAAAATTGTGAAATGATGCATTTGAAAAAGTCTGTTTATATCGATTCGTTGAAATTCTCTCTCTCTCTCTCTCTCTCTCTCTCTCTCTCTCTCTCTCTCTCTCAATTGATACAATACGCAAGAGCCTGGTTTTTTTAAATTAATTTTTAATACGAGACAAGCTCGACTGAGTTGATGAAACAGGGATATGAACAGTCTCGTTCAAAGTTATCATCTGGCTATTTCGTGGATCAATATAATGATCTCAATCACATTTTGTTTTCAAGATCCGTTTTTGCTCTGCTCCTGATTTGTCTTGTTAGAATGAGCTCAAATATAAAAGTTATTCTTATATTTTCCTATATTATTATGAACTCTCGGAATGTCGAATATTATATATATTCTTATCTTTTTACTTATGAGCTCAAATACTACTGGTCAAATTTATATTTCATTTACCTGCGTAGGTATTTAATGATTGTATGTTGAATTGAGTTGGAAATTAGATGCATAAAGTTAAAATAAATTTTTGACGTTAATATTCACAATAACATATCAAGCGATTCGGGAAGAACACAGAGATCTTTAATGAAGTGACAAATGGCAAGTTCATTAAAGAATAATTTCCTCAATTGTAATCAATTGTTATCAATACGTACTTCTCTCATATATGATTTTCCAACTTTTACAATGACCTATCGCCACACAAAACCATACGGCAGAGAATTAATTACATATTTTGCTGTCATGTTAGCTACTCATCAAGAGCAATAACTATTTCTAAATAAAATTTCTAATGTTGCTCAATCCAACACACAGGGAGCAAGATTTGAACAAATAATTGATCAAAAAATTGAATCTACCCTGAAGTTGCTTCTAGTAAATTTAACAAAACATTGCTTTGCCAACATAAAGATTTTACAATATACTTACAGCTGTATTTATAAACTTTGATTCCCCATTATTGCCACGACTCTGATCCCATGTGTCATGATTTGAAAAATTTATATTCTAAGTTTTGTGTAATTATTTTAAGAACAAGTAATGTTTGTAAAACACTTATGCCCCCCCTCCCCCCAAACTGGAATTTTTCCAAGTCAAAAAGGGCATGGTGCGATTGTACCCAAAATAGAACTTGACCAAGATATCTATCTGATAAATCTGTATACCATATTTCATTTCAGTATGTGCAACCTCTGCAAAGAAAATGAAAGGAAACTGCAAATAATTGGAATTTTTTGTAAGTCCAAGGGGCATAACTCTGTCAAAAATGGCACAATCGTACCCAAAACAGAACTTGACCTAGATATTAATCTGATAAATTTGTAGACTAAATTTCATTTCAGTATGTTAAGCGGTTGCTAAGAAAATGAACGGAAACTGCAAAAAATTGAAATTTTTCTAAGTCCAAGGGGCATAACTCTGTCAAAAATGGCACACTTGTACTCAAAACAGAACTTGACCTAGATATTATAGAAGGGTATACCCAAACCTAACAGGAAATGATATTTTTTTTGGTGTTATCCCTGTAATTTGGTTGCCTAGCAACACATCAAACATAACAACCATGAATTGAATTAAAAGTCAATTTCAGAAACATTTATTTATAGAATTATGTATCTGTTCCATATTTTTTAAGTAACACATGATAAAAATCATTAAAATCCTAGATACATTGTAAAGTTTATGTGAAATACAGAATTTAGTTTTCTATAGCAACCAAAAACGTCCCTAGTAACAACTTTAAATGCATAAAAATATTGAGAAAAAGTGATGTTTGTGTACAAAGAACTGAAATTGTAAGGTTCAATGTTGGTATCTTAAGGATTAAGATCTCCGTATCTTTAGAATTCAAAATTTTATCCTATAGGCATCAAAGAAATCCTTAGCAACAGCATTACAGTCATGTAAAAAATAATGCATAAAGTGTAGGAAGACTTGTTAACAGTTTGTATGCAACCATGGTGAGCATCAGAATAACAAATTATAATATGACCGTCTCATATTTTTTTATGCATTTTATGTACACAGTATTGTATATATACATGAAACAAAATATATAGAGTAAAAATTAAACTTTCAGTTACCAATTAAACCCTTAGTAACCATATAAATCTTTAGTAACCAAATAAAATATCAAAAATAAAGAACTATGCACGATAATTCTCGATTCCTGCCCACATGTTACACTTGTTTGAAAATTTACTGAATATTAATGGCAACTTGGCTTATGGCTTTATTCAAGTTTTACAAAAATTATAACGTTATATGTATCATTCTTTTGACAAATACTAGTACGTTTTATGAAAATTCATACAATTATCTACTAGCATACATAGATGAAAATATACTCCTTTCGATTAATGGACTTGGGGTTGTCGTCAGATAAAACATTTTGTCACATTAAAATCTAAATTTATTTGAATTGCTACATTTGAACACGCAGGCAAAATTCTATTACCCTGTGGTGAGCCTCCGTTTTCCACTCTGTACATATTTAACCCTTTTTAAGCCACAGATCACTGGACCTTGAAAGTAAGTTTGAATCCGTGCAGCAGTTGGACACGGCAGTCCTGATAGAGAAGGACGTTCCTATACTTCTCTAGATCTTGGTACATTTTGAGCAATAAAATAGTCATGGCAGACTTCACCATAGTTTAGCTGTTATTGTCAATATGTAGTGTCCTACTTTTCTGAGGTAAGCCTTGTTTTTATTGTTCATTGAAATGTAAATACTGTAAATATCTTAAAACAACCAGTTTCGGAATTTCTCAACAAAGTCAGCCTTAACTGTTTTGCTATTTGAGATTTATTATCTTTTATATTTCTTTATACGTTATTTATATGTACAGTTAGTCAAAAGTGTTCGAGTAATGATTGTACGGTGTTCCGTTCGTGTCTTTTAGTATGTCTATTGTTCTGTTATATTTGTAACAAAGTGTAAAGTAAAGGTATAATAGTGTAGTTAAGCATCTTAATGCTATTTGTACGCCATATGTACATGTGTATGCACAGCTTTAACTTACAATGTGTAAAGTATATGTCTACCTTGACATTATATTGTGCATGCGTAATTAACAGGTCCTCATCCCGTGTGTGTAGATGTCCCTGTACCAGACACGGCCACATCTAGAGTCTTGAGCGCAAGACGTTTACCTTTGCATTGTGTGTGTATGTGTGTGTAGGCCTCCACAACAGTAGGACAGGAGGAAGGATTTCCAAACCAGTCCGGAGACCAGTTGTACCCGTATTAAGGACACCCGTGCGCGTCATCGACCAGCTGAACACTGACAGTTATCCAGTTTATTTTG